GCGCCAGCGACGAACTGGCGTCCGCCAGACAGGTCGCCCGACGGCCCGTCCCAGTCTTGTGCGCGACAGGTATCGGCACCCCGTTCTCATCTACCTTGGTGGCGTAGTGGGAGTGAACAACGCCAGCCCCATCGAGAGTGGACCAGCGTTCCTCGACTCGGTACTTTGCGACGTGCTCTCGCGTCGCAAACTCCTCGAGGCTCTTGTTGAGGAGAAACCCGAACTTTGTCGTCTCATACCAGTCGGGACGCCCAGACACCTCGTCGAAGAAGCGAGTGCCCACGTCCTGCAGCCGCGCAAAGAGCTCACGCGTGTAAACATTGTTGGTATCGCCACGGTGCATTAGGTCCATGCAGCGATGCCACAACGCGTTTGCATCCTGATCTGCGGGCCGTCGATTCTCATCATACGGCGCAAATGCCACGCGTGCCCGAGAAATTTTGAAATTTGATGATTAAGATGTGAATAAATATGTGTTATGTTGTGTTGTGTTTGGAGATGGAGGTGGAGGTAGTGGGGAAGTAGGAGGTGATGGTGAGATGTGAGGGATGTGAGGAGGAGTGTGTAGAGTTGTAAAGTTGTAGAGTTTTGTAGAGTGTTGTAGAGAGATGAGAGATGTAAAGGTGTTTTAAAAAGTGTGGGGATGGAGAAGAAAAAATTCTTAGGATGAGAAAATGGGCGGCGCGTCGAGGCGGCCGAGCGGTCCCTCGCTCGCACGCAGAGGCCAGAGGGCGCGCCCGCGTCGACCGCCGCGAGCAAAAAAGAAAATCGCCTCCAAGTCGCCCGCGCACCTTTCCGAGGTTATTCCCAGTTGCAGTCTAAGCAGTCTATGAAGTCTTCAGACTGGGACGGACTGCCTAGAAGACTGTGAATAGGAATCCTAGTCGGCGTGCGCGCGCGATAAAGGTTTTTGCTCGCCTTCCCTGGGACCCCGTGTTGCGTGACGGTCTCTGTGCGATTTCGGGCCCGGGGTTGTGCGTTTATTTTAAGTATTTTCTTCTCAATAACAAGGCTGTGAATTCACTGTGCTAGGTGAGTCATGGAATAACCTTTCCGGGACACCATGAGCCAGGTCCCTTGTGCCCTTTGACCCAGCCTTTACCGGTCGCATGGACGAGCGGGCCCTGTGACTTGTGGCCGCGCTTTCACAGCCTTGTTATTGAGAAGAAAATACGTCCTATGGCCCCCCCGGCGCTGTGCGCTGTTCATGGCATCCTATGGGTCGTCCAGAGTATCGACCTCTGGCTTGTCAGCCGGTCACTTGATGACGACCATGAAGTACAGCGATCGCCAACTCGCTGGCCTCTCCGCAGGCCCCCCGACCGCGTCGAACTCATCGGCGCGGGCTCTCTCGGCTACGGGACCGGCCCCAGCTTCGGCTGAGGGCTAACAAGCTGCCGAGCCCAAATCACTGTGAGAGCCGTGATTTCTTGTTGGTTAATAAAAATCTCTCTCTCTCACACACACACCCCAGTGGGGACAACCTTTCCGCGACACCACCGAACACACATGAGCAGCATCCTCCTGCTCTGCGCGCTCCTCTCCAGCGCCGCCGCCCTAAACATCGGTCTCGGCCTCCCCTCCCCCAGCCCCGCGGCGCCGCCACCACTGCGCCTCGCCGACGCCTTTCGAGCCCCGTTCGCAGGCGGGCCGGCGCCGCCGCGCCCGTCCATCGGGGCGATGCGCGACGCTGCTGTGCGCGGAGCCATGGCGTCGTCGCTCGCGCTCGCGCTGAGCACGGCGAACCCAGCCTTCACCGCGGCGGACGTGCCGGCGCCGAGCGCCGCCGTCGAGCGCGCCGGCTTCTCGCTTGTCGCCGACTCGGACCAGGAGAAGTTTCTCGCCGAGCGCGCCAAGATGAAGACGCAGGCGAGCTCCGCCGCGCCGTCGCCCGTCGCCGCTGGTCGTCCGGGCGATCGCTCGTTACACCCGCGCGCGCACGCAACGACAGCTCGGACGCGACAGACACCGCTCACACACACACAAGACACAAGCGGCTGCCGGCCTCCGCGAAAACCTCGTCGCTCCGCTGAGGCGCCGCCGCCTCCCCCGTTCGCAGTACGAGCAGGACCTGGAGGGCACCTACATGACCGCCGAGCAGACGACCGCCAAGAAGGCCACCTACACGCAGGCTCTCGCGTCCCGCGCCCTAGCCCGTGCTCCGCGCCTCTCGAGCCCGACAGCTCTCCCTCCGCCAACCTACCCTCAGGTGGTCTATGGCCTCATTGCGATCGCCTTTGTGGCGCGCGCGCCCGTCGCCGCCCTCCCCCCCCCCCTCCCACCCTCCCACATCCACCCACGGCGCGCGCGGTCTCGCCCTTCCCCGCGCAGGCACCGATGATTCAATTCTTCTACTACACCGGTGGCAAGTGAGGCGGTCGCCTCCTCTCCGCCGCCGCCCGTCTGTGTTGATCTCGTGCACTTCCCCTAGCGTTGGAAGTGCTGCATGCTGTTGCTAAACGCCCGCCCTCGTGGGTGCGGTGAGAGCCGCGAGGTGTAGCCCGCGGGCCGCCGGGTTTTGTATGTCGGTCGCGTCTCTCGTGAGGAGTGCTGTGCAGGCGCACTACATGCCATACTTTAGATCTGAGCCTCGGTGATCGAGGTCGCGCATAGACGATGTCATCATGAGGACTGCCCCGCCGCGCCCCGCGCGCGCGTCTGGCGCGTCCCGGCTGCGTGTGCCGCTGAGCGCTCTTTGACCTCGTCGCTCGTGTGACGTGTGTGCATACGATCGCTGCGCGGCCCCTCCCAGCTGGCGAGTTCCCCGGCGAGCCGCGTGCGCACGCCTTTCCGCATTGATCTTTCATAAAGCCGCTGGAAACCCCCTATACGCAAAAAAGAATAAATGCGCCGCGGCCGGCGCGCGTCGCCCCGAGCTCGACAGAAATAAAATCTCGTGGAGCTCGGAGTGCTGAAGTATTGAATTGCTGGTCTATGAGAGGTTGAAAGAAAGAAAGAAAGAAAACATACACGCCAAGGGAGGGATGGGAGGACGGCACGCCGCCACCACACAGGGATTTTAAGTACAGGAGTGTGGTGCTACTCTAGCCGTCGCCCACCCTAACCCTTGGTCGTCTGCCTCTTTCTATCTCCCTTCGCAGTCCCTCGCCGATTCTCGCTGCAACCTTCATGCCACCTCGCGGTCGTCCCACTCTCGTCGTTCTCCCTCCTGTCGCTTCCTCCTCTGTCGCGTCGTTCTCGTCTGCCTCGTCCTGCGACGCCGCCGCCGCCTGCCGATCCCTTGCTCTCGCGGCTTCTCTCTTCTTTCGTCGCAGCTCTGCTCTCCTCGCGGCATATTTTGGCCCCTCGAGTTTATCTAGCTCTCCTCGCGCAAGGACGACTCTTCTTACGCCCACTCCGATCATTTGCCGCCCAGTCATATCGTTGCTCAGTTCCACTCTCTCTTCGAACACTTGCACCTCCACCGATGATGTTGGCGCTGGGGTCCCCTTCGGGTGCATCGTTACATCTGACGACGGGATTACCACTGGTGTTTCGTCTTCCTCGGAGTCTTCTTCCCCGGCTTCCTCCTGTTCAGCTTTACGCTCATTTCGTTCAGCGTGGCTCACCCTCCATGCCGTGAACAGGCGCTTTATCCATCCTATATTCTTCTCTCTCTCCTCTGCCCGTGCCTTGGTCTTGTCGTTGTTTCGCACCCATGTCTGTATGGCGATCGAGGCTGCCTTCCCCACTACCTGTAGTTCACTCGTCATCTCTCCTGCGAGCTCCCCTCTCTTTCTTTCTTGGTATGGAGTCCGTGAGTGCGGGCAGCGTGCAGGCAATCACGGGCGCTATTTTGTCGTACTCCTCTTCGGCGCGCGCTCCGAATCTAGAGCCCATTGCCTTTAAGGAGGCTGCCCTCGCGTGTCTCAGGAATGCGGCTGTGTCTTTTGAGTCAGACGCCGCCCGTTCGACTCTTGCTGTCGCCCTCGCCGCGTGTTTGTCAAGCTTCCGCATGAAGTAACGCGCCTCTTCCTTATTTCCACAGCGCAGCTGCCGCTCAGTATGTGCGCCAACGACGCCTGTGGTGGCTCACTGTCTTCTTGTGTCCAGTCGTCCCAGTCTCTCAGTTCCCCGATTCTCCTCCTTGCCTCGCGCGCCTCTTTTGTGGCCTCATCCCTAGCCGCCTTGCACGCTCTGCATCCCCAGAACGCACTCCTCGTGGCGGGGCCCCTCATTCCCCGCTTCTTTTCCCTTCTAGAATACGCCTGTGGTGTGCCCCGTGTGGCAGCCCGACCTGTTGTCTCACCCTGGCCCCCAAGATCGTTTTGGTCGTCACATGGTGATCCCCGAGTCGTCAAATGTCGCCCGCCTATATCCTTCCCCCCGTTCTCGTCTGGTAATCTCATCTTATTGTCCCAGCGGTGTTCTCTTTTCTTTTGAGCTCTGTGAGCTCTCCACCAATAAATAGGAAAAGTTGTGGCGTTGTTGATTATGTCGAGAGCCGAGAGGCTGGCTACAGCCACTTCGCTCCACAATCGTCCCGCCACCCCTGCCGTGTGCGATCCCCATCCCGGCCTCACCGTCTTTCGATATTGCTCGCACACCCACTCGTGCGAACAAACAGTTGTTTGGTATTGCTAAAAATCTCTCTCTCGTGCGCGCTCTCTCTACACATGTGTCCGTACGTCCGTCGGTCCACTATCTCCCTCTTCTCTGAGTTCTCTGCCGCCTCCCTTCGCACCGTGTACATGCATGGCCGCGTTCGCACCGCGTCCCGCACCGCTTTCGAGGCGTCCTCCGTGTCGTTATTTCCGACCGAGCTCCGAGGTAGGTATGCTGTCGCTACTGCGTCGGCGTATGCGGTGCAGGCTATTCCCACATGCGATGGCACCCACACAAAGACCACCGCCTCTAGCTTCGATCTATAGTACGCAATCGCCTCTCTCGTATGAGAGGTTGAGTGCGAGACATAGCGGAGAATTTTATTGTTCCGCCGACTTCAATACGTCCTTCCCCGACAGCGACAAAAATGCGCGCCAACCTTGCCCCAGAGACGCCCTCTCGCTGGCCCCAGCGTGTGCCCAGACGCGCACACCCGCGCGCACCACCTCACACGGCTCGTGTGTCTCTTGCAGGGGCGCCTTCAAGTCCAAGCACGACCATGAGGAGGTCAACACGAGCTATCTGGCGACAATGGAGATTGACGCCGATGGGCTGAATCTGATCAAGGCTGTGGCCGCCGAGGCTGCCCGCGAATCGGTGCCTGTGGCTGCTGAGGTCCCTGATGCCGAGGACAACGCGCCGCCTCCAGCTCCAGTGGGGGATGGCGAGGCCGACGAGCGGAGCGCGGCGGCGAGCACCCCCGAGGATCTCGCCGCCTTGCTGATGCAGGTTGGGCTGAGCACCCGGAAGAAGAGCCCGTATCTTCAGGGCCTGATCGATGCGGTCCGCTCAAAGGCCGACGCTGCAGTGTCCAAGGATGGCAGCCTCAAGCCCTCGACCGAGGCAGCAGACGACATCCGGATAATGCGCTTCTTGGGCGCAAACAAGTGGGACGCCGCCGCCGCCGCCGAGGAGTACGTCAGCTCGCTAAAGAGCCGCAAGGCGAAGGGACTCGACGCCCTCCGCGACGAGATCGTCGCCAAAAATCCCGGCTTCTTCGGCGGCAAGGAGGAGCTCGACTGCATCTACGTGCACGGGACGAGCAAAGCTCTGCAGGAGGTCAACCCCCGCACCTTCACCGACGTGCGCACCGAGGGCCCGTACCGGCTGCTGCGAGACAAGCGAGGCAACCTCGTCGTGATTGAGTGCGTGGGCGTGGTCGACTATGCCGCCATCGCCGCTGTCGGCTTCGAGCCGTGGACGAAGGAGTTCTTCACCTTCAACGAGCTGCGCGTGCTGGTGCTCGACGAGCTCTCGCGGCGATGCGGGAAGCTGCTGCTAACAAACACCGTCATGGACATGTCGCACATCAACATGATGCCCAATCCCTTCGCGCCAAAGGTCGAGAAGGACGGGAAGGCCGCCGCCAAGGCGTCGTCGGAGGTGACCAAGGAGGTGTACCCGACGACAACCTTCCGAAACTACATGGTCAACCTCTCCGAGTCGACCGCCAAGGCGGCGGGGCCGCTGATAAAGGCGCTGGTGCCCAAGCGCTCGGCGGATAAGCTCAAGATATTTGGCCCCGACTTCCAGTCGGCGCTCCACGAAGACGTTGACTGCGCAAACCTGCCTCAGCGGTATGGAGGGGAGCTCCCGGACGGCATCCAGTTCAAACTGATCGACGCCAAGGGAAAGAAGAAGTGAGCGCGTCGCGCCGAGCGTGCGTGGACCAGTCACCCCCCTCAGTCCTCTGAAATGTGATCCCATTCGGCTCGATGGGCGCCTCGGGAACCCGGACGGCAGAGCCGGCAGCTTTTTGGAGCTATCCTCTCTGCGAGAGAGTGTCCGATGCGCTGGACGGACACACGCTAGTCTGTGGGGGCGGGGAAGAGGGCTCGAGCGGACCCCCGGGGTTGGCGGTCCGACGGCAGAGGTAGGCGTCGGGCGGCCTGTGTGTGTGCCGCGAGGGGGGCGACGGAGATTTCCGAGATATCCACACACCTAGAGACGACCACCGCGTCGGCACGTCGGCGCAGCCACGTGCGACGTGGCGCTCTTTGTCACTCTGTGATCTGCCTCCGAGGGGTCTCGCTGTTGATTTCATGATTTCATACGGATAAAAACAGTACAGCCACGCCTCCTGGCCACTGTGTGGCGCTGCGTGCGTATACACTGTGGCGCAGTGGTGGCGGAGCGGTGTGGCGCGGCGCTCCACCGCGGCTCGGCGCGATCTGGCTCTCTACCGATGGCAATCTGACTGTGGGAACGTGGCGCGCCCGGCGCGTGCGCCCCTCACCCGGCCTTCTTCTCCTTGTCCTCCTTGAGCGGGACGATGCGATTGAAGACGGGCGCCTCCGCCGTGGAGTCCGTGTCGACGCAGAAGAAGCCGAGCCGCTGGAACTGGAAGGCCGGCCGGTCGGCGCTGCGCGCGGGAGGGCCCGCCGCCTGCGCGAGGTCCCTCTCGACCACCGCCTCGTGCTCCACGCAGGAGTCCGGGTTGAGCAGCTTGAGCCACGAGGGCGCGCCTACGGGACACATGCCGCGTCGTGGGCCGCGTCGTGGACGCTGCACGGCGCCATCGGCCCGCGAGTAGCTCGCGCTTTCAGGCGAGGCCGCCTCCGCCTCGTCCGCCTCGTCGCCCTCGCCCTCCTCGTCGCCCCCGCCGCCCCCGCCCTTGAGCTTGGCAGCCTCGCCCTCGGGGTCCTCGGGCGTGAAGAGGACACCGTAGACGCGCACCTTGGCGCGCACCCCCTCGGCCGCAGACACCCAGTGCAGGTGGCCCTTGGTCTTGTTGCGCTCGGCGGACCCGTCCGCCTGGGAGGCGCGGCATATGGAGACGCGTCAGAGTCGTGCCGGAGTCTCGCTCCCCGCCAACGGGCCGCGCCCACCGAGCAGACGAGCGCGGTCACGCCGCCGTCGCCGCCCCTCACCACCTCGTCGCAGCGGATGGTCACGCCGGCGCCGAGCAAGCCAACCTCCTTCCCGGGCGCGAGGCCGAAGAAGCTCGGCGCGTCCACCTGCGAAGGCGCGGTCGCGTCGGCGCGCCCCACCCCGACGCGTGTGCGCTGCCGCCACGATACCGCGGCTGGGCGCTGGGCGCAGCGCGGGGTCCGGGGAAGCGCGACGGAGGCTCGCGCCTCGCGAAAGTCGTCGCGGTCGATGTAGATGGTCTCGGGCAGCACGAGCCGCCGGGCGCCCATCTCTGCGTTCCGCGGGTGGTTCGGCGACTCGAACGGCTTCCCGCCCGCCGCGAGACCGCGCAGCTCCACCTGCGAGGGGGGAGGCGCTGAGCGGCGGGCGCCGAAGCTCCCGCGCCGGCGGAGCGCGCGCGGAGGGGCTGCGCCTTGAGCGGCCTCAGCACGGCGGAGCGGCGCGGCGCGGAGGCGTCCAGCGCTGTGCGCGCGACATGCTCGACGACCTGCCACCGCGCAGTCATGGCGGCCTTCG